TATGACGGGTTGATTACGACCGTGATAAAAACTCGTCATAGAATGCTATTTTTCCACTAGTGAGTATTTAGTTTGTGATACAAAAATTCCATCTTTTAGTTGCTTAATTTGAAGTCCAAGGAAGAAGGTTAATTCTCCCATCATGGACATTTCAAATTCACCCTGCATTATACTAGCAAATCCTTCACACAAAGAGTTATCAGTTAATCCAAAGATAATATCATCAACATACACTTGTACTAGCAGAATATGTTTTCCTACTTTCTTAATAAACAAAGTAGAATCAATTTGTCCTCTAGAAAGGTCATTTGATATTAGAAAATTGCTTAATCTTTCATACCATGATCTAGGAGCTTGTTTTAATCCATAAAATGCCTTTTTAATTTAAAAATATGATTAGGGTATTTGAAATCTTCAAAACCCGAAGGTTGTTGCACATATACATCTTCTTTAAAAAAAACATTTAGAAAAGCATTTTTCACATCCATTTAATATAGTTTAAATTTCATCATTGAGGCATAAGCAAGAAGTAGGCATATAGCCTCTAATCTGGCAACAGGAGCATAGGTCTCATCATAATCTATACATTCTTCTTGACAATATCCTTTAGCCACAAGTCTAGCTTTATTTTTATTTATGTTTCCATCTTCATCAAGCTTGTTCCTAAATACCCATTTAGTTCCAATTACTTGATGATGTTCTTCTTTTGGAATTAGTTCCCAAACTTGATTTCTTTCAAATTGATTTAATTCTTCTTGCATAACAATACACCATTGATCATCCTTGAGGGCTTCCTCAACATTCTTGGGTTCTATCTGTGAGACAAAAGCTATAGTCATACAAAAATTAGATATATTTCTGGTACTTACCTCTTTTGAAATATCTCCAATTATGTTGTCAAGTGAAAGTCCTCTTGGTGATTGCCATTCTTTTGCTAACTCGGTTGGTTGATATGGTTCATTTTCATTTAAATGCATTTCTTCTAATGCTTCCTTAAGATACTCTTCATCACCTGCATTTTCTTTTCTTGACTCAAGAGGATTTTCCTCAAGGTCTACAATTTCATCAAAAGTAACATGCATATATTCTTCTATATTTAATGTTCTTCTATTAAATACCCTATATGCTTTACTAGTAAGAGAGTAGCCTAAGAAGATAGCCTCATTAGCTTTGGAATCAAATTTACCTAGGTTATCTTTACCATTATTTAACACAACATTTACAACCAAAGATTTTCAAATGACTTACATTTGGTTTTCTCCCTTTGAATAGCTCATAAGGAGTCATTTTCAAGATAGGTCTAATGAGCATTCTATTTAAAACATAGCAAGCAGTACTTACAACATCTGCCTAAAAATATTTAGAAACTTTTGATTGATTTAACATTGTTCTAGCTAGTTCTTCTAGTGATCTATTTTTCCTTTCTACTACACCATTTTGTTGGGGAGTTCTAGGTGCAAAAAAATTATGTAAAATACCATTTTCTTCACAATAATTTTCAAATGACTCATTTTGAAATTCCCCACCATGATCACTTCTTAACACTTTAATTCTTAATTCCTTTTCATTTTGAATTTGCTTGGCAAAATTTCTAAAGGCCTTAAAAGCTTCATTTTTCAAGGTTAAGAAAAATGCTTAAGTAAATATAGAATAATCATCAACGATTACAAGAGCATAATAATTTTCACAAAAACTTTTGATTCTAGGTGGTCCAAATAAATCTAAGTGTAAAAGTTCTAAAGGCTTTGTTGTGGAAATTATATTCTTAGTTTTGAAAGATGATTTTACTTGTTTACCTTCTTGACATGCATCACATAATTTATCTTTTTCAAATTTTAATTTAGGCAATCCAACAATTAAGTCTTTAGATATTAGTTTGTTTAATTGATGCATGTGAATATGAGCAGCTCTTTTATGCCATAACCATGGATTTCTTCTTTAACAACTAAGCATATAATATCAACATCAGATGCACAATCTAAGTCAATCAAGTAGATATTGTTATGTCTAATTCCTTTTAATGCAATTTTCTTAGAACCTTAAGATGTATGGTGCAGTAATTTCTTTCAAAAATTACCTTAAGTCCTTTATCACAAAGTTGACTTATACTTAGAAGATTGTGCTTTAGCCCATCAACAAGGAGTACATCCTTTATCTCCAAAGTATTTTCACCACCAATGTTTCCGGTTCCAAGGATTTTGCCTTTATTGTTGTCTCCATAAGTTACATATCCTTATTCTTTCTATTTGAAACTTACAAATTTCTTTTTATCACCAGTCATGTGTCTTGAACAACCACTATCAAGGTACCACATAGACTTCTTGGATTTAACAGATACCTACAAAATAAGAACACAAGATCTTAGGTCCCCATAACTTTTGGGTCCTTGGGGTTAGAGACAAGCAAATCATTTAACTATAGGCACCTAAATATAGTTTCCTTTAGGAACACCAAAATGTTTTATCTTACACTTATTTGAAGTATGTCCTTGTTGCATACAATAAAAACATGCATTTGGTGATTTAAATTTTGAAAAGGATTCATTTCTACTTTGTGAAGGTACACTTCCTTTCACAACCCATACTCTGCGGATTCTTTGATTTTTAGTTTTTCTTAAAGGAACATGACTCTTACCTTTAGTTTTTACAAATTTTTTATTTTCATCAACCTTGTCTTTTGTAACTTTTTCAAGCAAATGCTCAAGTATGAAAATATCAAATTCATAGCTCTTATAAGATGCACATGCAATTGGTTCTACTTCTTTTTCTTCAAAAGATGCAATTTTAGTTTTTAAAACTTCCACTTCTTTTTCTGATTTATTTAAACTCTTTTTCAAGGTTTTATATTCAGATTTCAAGTCCTTAAAGGAAGTAAACAACTCTTGATATGGATTATGTAAAGCATCATATTCACTTTCATCATCACTTGAAGATCAATCTGAATCACTTACCTCATAGTCGAAAGATACATTGTCATTTGCCATCAAGCAAAGATTTGCTTCAATTTCAGAATCACTTAACTCTGAACTAGAGTCACTTTCCTCCCACGCAATGTAAGCTTTCTTTTTGAAGGATTTTCTTCCTTTTGAATCATCACTTCTTTTGTTGTTGGGATAGTCGGATTTCACATGCCTTGTTTCACCACAACCATAATATTTGAAATTTAATGAAGATCCTTTTTTCTCATTCTTCTTACCTTTAAATGATTGCCTCCCTTTGACTTTCATGAACTTGGTGAATTTTTTTATCATGAGACTCAGGTTCTCAGGTGAATTTTCTTCTTCCTTCTTTTTCTTGTTTTTGGAAATCTCAGTTTTGAAGGCTAAGTTTGTCTTTTGATGTTGGCCTTCTTCATCATTTAACCTTCCTAGTTCAAGCTCATGCTCTCTCAATTTTCCAAAGAGAGTCGTCATTGTCATTGTTGCCAGATTTTGTGACTCCGTGATGGCAGTCACATTGAGTTGTCATTTCCTGTCCAAATATTTTAAAATTTTAACATTTAATTAGTTAGTATCAAAATTCTTACCAAGCCTAGAGAGATGGTTCACAATCTGTGTGAAACGCTTTTGGACATCAAAGATTGTTTCTCCTTGCTGAATTCTAAAGATTTCATACTCTTGAATCAAGGATTTTTTTCTTACTCTTTTCACATAGTCGGTTCCTTTGTGAGTTACTCTTAGAATTTCTCACATCTTCTGAGCACTTTTACAAACTGATATCCTGTAAAACTCATCAAGAGTCAAACCAGAGGATATAATGTTTCTAACCCTAACATCATATTGGGCATTTCTATTTTCCTCAGCAGTCCATGTAGAAAACGGTTTTGGTTCCTCTACTTCATCTACAGTCATTTTAGGAATAAAAACGACCATTTACAACAGCATCCAAAAAACCCATGTCAACAAACTCCAAAAATATTTGCATCCTAACTTTCCAGAAAGGGTAATTTTGACTAGTAAAAAGTGGGGGTCTGTTAATGGAGGCACCCTCAGCAAAGGTTTGGTCTTGTCCGACCTTTTTCAAAAATTTGAAAAACTATCAAAGCAAGCTCTGATACCACTTGTTGGTATTGCGCAACGGAATGTTTGCGTTTGGGACAAAACCAAGAGGGGGGTGAATTGGTTTCTTATAAAAAACTTTCCCTTTTAAAAACTTTTTGCAAGTAATTTATACTGATTCAGATAAAAAGATCCTACGTCTAGTTGTTAATCACTCTAAAAGAGGATTTTAACCCAATCACTAAAACAATAGTTCAAACAGATTACAAATTACAAGTAATAAGGATTAGAAAACACCTCTCTTGAGTCACACAAGAGATGAACACCTCCTTTGAAGCCACAAAGGATGAAGAAAGTTTTTCCTAGATATGGCACAACACACAATCCACCAAGAAACCCACTTCGTTATTCTTATCGCTTCTAGCCCATACTAGGTTACAAAATCCCCTTTTTCTTCCCTACACAAAGTTCTCTCAACAATCACAACTATAAACTTTAGTATGAAAAAGGTTGTTATTTACAGAGAGCCAGAGAGTTCCTTGAATAGAGATTTTAGGATTTTGAAATTAGGATTTTTGAAAATAGGTCTGAAATTTGAAATTCAAAACCATAAATGACAAATAATCGATTATCATAAGTGATAATCGATTATCACAGAAGACAAATTTTGACAGGATAATCGATTATCCACAGAGATAATCGATTATTCCAGAGACTTTTAGAAGCCTGGCTTAACTTGGATAATCGATTATCATAAGTGATAATCGATTATCACAGAGAGTTTTAGTTAAAAACGAACTTTCAGTGGACATACTATGTGCTGACTATCTTGGAATCTATTTTTACAGACTCAAAATGATAAAACAGAGTTATTACAAACATATACAACTATATATGAGTCTTCTAATCTTGAAGTCCTTTGTCTCTAAATCATCATCAAAGTCTTCAGGCATCACACCCTTGTGTTTTCAACACACATAACAAAAACCATCATTTACCATTATCACCGGTGGCTACCACGACAAGCTCCACCGCCCCACCAGCGGCCAGCACAGTGAGTCCACCGCACCACCAGCGACCACCATAGCCCAGTCATGACCTTAATCTCTATGCTCTCCACCTCATCCATCCATTTTTTTCAACAACAAACCCTTCTCCCTTCCCCTTACTAATGTTGTGCCTTCAGATCTACCACGCACCAAACCCTTATTTTCCACTTGTTTTCTAGCCACCGTTGTGACCCATCGCCGGTCACTCCACAACATCGCGAGATAACTGCACCATTATCATTGTCATGACCTCCACTACTCTATCTCTTTTAGCTTCACCACTAACTACCCATTTCTGCGTTTTCTGTTGTCCTGCTAACCACTGCGGGTCACCACGAGTCTCGGACGCGCCAACCACCACGTGTCTCCGCAAACCACCACCCATCACCCAGCCTTCCTCCACTATGTCTGAGTTTCTACCCTCATCGACATTCATCACCATCCCTCCTTCACTTTAACCTTTTTTTTTTCTCTCCGACAACAAAACTTCTATTACATAAACCCCAGATTGAAAATCTCCCTTTCCTCACTCTTTCCCGAATCCAATCTAAAACCCTAACTTCCTTTTAGTTTCCCTTTTCTGCTACCTTCCAACCACCTTTCTACTTTTCATTTAATTGATTTGATAATTTTTAAAAATTGTTATACCCTTTTTTATTAATTTGACAATTACTGATTATTCAATTATCATGAGAAGATTACGTTTAACCTACTTGTCAACTTTGTTATCATTTATCTTATTATTATTATTATTATTATTATTATTATTATTATTATTATTATTATTATTATTATTATTATTTCCTTTCTCCTTTATTTAAAATCAATAAATAAGTAGATGAATAATATTTTACAATTAAAATTTTTTTGGTGTTATTTTATTACACTTCTTTTGGTAATTAAAACTAATAAATTTACAAAGTTATTTATTCCAAATATAATTACAATTTTGATTTAATTATTATAATATTAAAATTTTATGGTTACTTCAAACGTATTTTAATTTGATCATTATAAAAATTATTTTAAAATGTTAAATTTTTAGTACACTGAATTTCAAAAGGGTTTAATTATGGTAATAATCGTTTAGGACATAATTTAAACTAATTATTACTTAAAATTATATAAAAAACTAATCACTTTGGATTTACTTTCAATTATCATGAATTCATAATAATCACTTCAAATGTACTTTTGATTTGATTATAATAAATACTAATTTTAAAGTATCTTAAATCCACGTAGAAATAATAAATTTAATAATTAAAAATATTTGAATATTAATAATTATTTTCTATGCACTTCCAATTTAATTATTACTTAAATTATAAAGAACAATAATCACTTTAGATGCACTTTTAATTTGCTTATTTCATAATTATTCTAAGTATACTTTTAATTTAGCAACACAAATAAATAAATTTAAATAAATTACTCACAAATACATTTTTTATAAGAAAGAATTACTTTACTTGTTAGACAAATGGCATCTAGAGGGGGGTGAATAGGTGCACAAATTAAAATAGATGTCAAATTAAAAATTTATTTGTGAGTCAATAATTTGTTAAAGTGGAAGCAATAATATAATTAGGAAAAGAGAAAGAGATAAGGGAAAGAGAAGAGCACACAGAGATCTATACTGGTTCAGGTATAGTCAACCCTACATCCAGTTCCCAGTCAACTCTTAACACAAGAGTGACTCCCCATTCACTATCTTTCAAATTCAGTTTACAAATTACAATCAACTCAGCAGAAGAACCAGTAAAAAGTAAACTAATTAAAAAGACAATCACCTCCTTAGAAACCCACTAAGGATGAACACTTCCCTAGAATCCCACTAGGGATGAACACCTCCTCTGAATAAATCAAAGGATGAAAACACCTCCTTAGAATCCCACTAAGGATGAACACCTCCCTAGAATCACACTAGGGATGAAAAACACCTCCTTAGAATCCCACTAAGGATGAACACCTCCCTAGAATCACACTACGGATGAAAAACACCTCCTTTTCCACCAATGCAAAAAGGATGAAGGTAATAAAAATAAGAACAGACACACTTGGGTAATGGAGACAACAAATTGTAGAAGCCTGTAGAATGTCAATCTCCAAGAACAAGTGTGATTAACAATGAAAGCACAGAAGGCAGTAGAGAAGAGGGTTTTCTCAAAAGGTGTAAAATATCTCTGTTGCCTTGTTCAAAATTCTTTTCTCAAAATTGATTGAATGTAAATTATATTTTCGAATTCTTGTAATTGTGTGTTTTTTATTTTTCATCAAAACTTAATTAAATAGAAAAATAGCATCGAGAAAATGGTCGTTGGACATTAATAATATCATAGAGAAAATCAGGATGTATTAAAAAACATTTATTCTTTAAAACGGATATATTTTTCAAATTTGAATTGCCATAATTGATTATATTACCAGTATAATTAATTATGATAGAGAAAATCATTTTTCCATTTCTGATGCATCATAATTGATTATGACAGAAAAATATCACGTTATGAATTTTATCACACTTGTGCTTTGGAGGCTTATGCATAATATTACTTCATCAACTTGTACCTCCATATCCAGTATTCTAAGACTCTATCTAGTCTTCAGGAATCATCTTGGGCTTGCTTGAATCATCATCTTTATCAAAAACATATCTTGGGCATGTAGGGAAATGTTTCACATTTTCACCAACGTCTTAAATTCAGCTTGTCCTTAATTCATCTTGAATGGTGTTTACTTGAATGTAGTTGACTTGAATCATCATCAAAATCATCTCTTGGGAATGTAAGGACATTTCCATCAATCTCCCCCTCATTTCTTTCATTACTTTGATTCTCCATTGCACCTGGGGATACGTAGGAGCAGGGAGATGATCTCTGTCGAGCTACAAATATAAAAATATATATAATCTTTTATTTTTAGTAGCAACATTTAATCGATATATAAGTTAGGGGGATAAAATAGATAATTTTAAGATATTTAAATTTTTATGTCTGATTAAAGATAACCGATTTTAGAATGGATATTGTAAGGTGCTAATACCTTCCTTACACATAATCGACTCTTGAACCCAATCTTTATTTCGCAGACCACTTTCTTTTCTTTTTGAAAGATTTTTCCAATATTTTTCCTTAAAATAAATATTGGTGGTGACTCTATTGTTTTTCTTTCATTTAGAAACCCAATTTTGTCATCCAATTGCCATTTTGGTTGCGATAGATGGAGACTCTACTAGGGACACGTTGAGTCAAGCCTATCATAATTAAATGTAAAATAAAAAAAAAAGGACTAAAAATCTTTTATTATTTGTTGCATCCCTCTTTATTTAGCTTTATATGTATGTGTTTATTTTATCCTCACTAATTCATTGTAAAATATCTCTACTTCAATAAAATCCTAGGATAGAAGACATGTTCCTATTGTGGACTTCTTGTTTGTTTTGTAGGTTAGTTTAGGACTAGCCCTTTCACACACTACACTCACATCTGTTCACACTTATGAGTGAGGTCCTATACCCGGGCCTAAGTGTATCCTAGGGAGTGAAAGACAATTAGTAGTGTCATTGTGGTTGTACTTCCAATTTGGTAATCATGAAAGTCTTATCTAGAGCGTGACTCTTTCGTAAGTTCCTACATCTTGGATGTACTTTGAATTTGTAGTCACAAACCGAGATGAGTACTAAGCTTTAGAGACCAAGAGAACTTTAGATGTTTGATTACCTTTGATAAGACGCACTTGCTAGAGAAAACCATTAGACTTATAAAATACATACTATTACCTCTTAAGACACTATGGGCATCTTTATCCATATCCACCACTCTTTCTTTTTCATTACTTTACCATGTTATATATTTTACATTAAGAACATAATAATTTCTCAACAATTTTTTTCAATATCACATTTGCATACATCATTTTTATACTCATTCATTCTTATTTTTGCATTAAATATGTGTATTGGAAAATAGTAAACATTAAAGAATGATTTAGGGTACTTGGAAAAAAACAAGACATGGGATCAAGTTGTGAGACAAAAGGGACAATTTCTATGAAAGTTAAGATGCTTGATGTTCAATTTTTACAACCTTATAATAATCTGGTGAAAGGGGTTAAGCGTGTAGCTTTCACGAAAAAATATGGAAATATCTTGGATTTACTAGAGCTCAATGTGCAAGTGGAGGCCATATCAACATTAACACAATTTTATGATCATCCCTTTTACATTTTGTAACTTCCAATTGGCACCCATGTTGTAAGAATATGAGCGAATTTTAGGGATATTGTTGAAAGATAGTAAACCTTACAACTATCAGGGGCATCATGCTTCTATGAAGACAATGACATGTTTGTTAAGAGTTCAAGAGGAAGAGTTGGAAAAGAGAAAATTAAACAGAAATGGTATATATGGGTTTCCAAGAAGTTATTTAGTGGAAAGGATGAAAACCTTATTCGAAGAGAATGATTGGATTGGTTTTACTGGATTTTTGGCCCTCACTATCTATGGAATTGTTTTCTTTCCACATCTTGAAGATTACATAGATTTCTCTACTATAGATGTGATTTTGGCTCTCTAGAGTAGAGGAGAAAATCTAGTATCGGCTATCCTAGCAGATACATATTGTGCTCTCAATTTTTGTTATGAAAAGGGTAGAAAGAAGTTAGTTTGTTGTTTACCACTACTCTATGTGTGGCTCACCATCCATGTGTTCTTTAACAAATGCAACTCATCATCCCCTATTGCAGATGTCAAATGGAGTAGTGTAAAAGATAAAACAAGTAAGGAGTAGGCACAATTTTTAGCAAATCTCGGTAAAAAGTCCATCTGTTGGTATCCGTCAACAAAGGAGAAGAAAGCTGAGAAGAGAGAGTCTAAAAGGGAAAAGGAGTTCAATGACTATAAGGTTTCTCATGGGAAAGAAGAGGCAAAATTGAACGATAAAGCTACTGAGTTTCTCAAGTTCATTCAACAGAGCAAGTACACATTTATTGACCAATTGAATCATACTCCAGTAAGGGTATCCCTTCTAACTGTATTAATGAGTTCTGAAAGTCATAAAAACTATTAATGAAGATCTTGAATGAAGCACATGTGACCCATGACATCACACTGGACAAGTTTGGAGGTATCATTGGCAGCATCACTACTAATAATTACCTTACCTTCACCGATGATGAAATTCCTGTTGACGGGAGAGGACATAATAAAGCCTTGCACATCTCAGTAAGGTGTAAGGATCACATTATAGCTAGAGTTTTGATTAACAATGGATCTTCGTTGAATGTCATGCCCAAATCTACATTAGATCGACTGCCTTATGATTGAACTCATATGAAACCAAACTCTATGATTGTAAGATCTTTTGATGGTTTTTGCAAGGAGGTTATGGGAGAAATTGATATTCCCATTTAGGTTGGTCCTTTCACTTTTGAGAT